GCTCATAATATTCTGCAACGCATGCTTACATTTGAATTTCTTGTACTTTTGCATTTTTGGAGAAATCTTTTATCATCTATCAGTTGAGTGCAGAAACGTCTTCAGGACCCAAAAATGAATTTACAGATGCAGCCGCTGATCTTGATTCTTTGAAAGAGAAATTGATAGAATCACATCAAAAGTCCTGACAAGAAGCACTTAAAGTGGGCAAGAAACAATGTGAAACATGGGGATTGACCACTCAAAGAAGAAAAATACTTCAAACGAATGCCAGGTGAAAATGCAGCTGATGCTGGATTGACTGCTGAACAGGAAATTTATTGCATCATGAAGGATGTTATTGCTTGCTTGATTACAGAAATAACAGGAAGATCTTCTTGCTTACTACTAGATGTGCAAGATATTGTTTCTGGAGATTTCAAAGATGGAGAATTGCAAGAAAAATGTTCTGACTTAGCAAAGAACTATCCAGGTGATATTGATGGACCAGAATTGTACAGAGAAATTAAAGACTGTAGAATGTTGATAAGTAAAAGAACACAGATCGATTTTCCTGAACCAATGGTTGCAACTGATTTGCAAACATTTATAATTTCATATGGTGAAGATGTTTTCCCAAATTTAAGAATTACATAGCAGATTTTGTTAACAATTAGTGTTTCTATTGCCAGTTGTGAAAGGTTCTTCAGCAAGATGAAATTAATTCTTACATACTTGAGATCCTCAATGACTCAAGAACGACTTAGTAACTTGTCAATATTAAGTATTGAAAAAGATGTACTTAATACCTTCAATTTTGATAGCTTAATTGATGCATTTGCAGCAGCAAAAGCACGAAAGATTCACATAATGTAACCATGAATACCAGAATGCTACCTGTACAAGATCTAGTTAATTATATGTACAGTTTTGTAAACTAATAAAATTTATTTGTTAACTTGAGTAGTATTTTATCAATCTGTTTAATAATCCACGTACACCACAAGTGACTGGCTTCTTGTATAAAACATAAGTTTCAAAACTAGGGATATAACAGAAATTTAT